TGTTTCATGTTATATTGTGTTGGGGGTGTATGTGTCGGCATTGGTTTATCGGAACCTATGTGTCGGCATTGGTATATCGGAACCTATGTGTCGGCATTGGTATATCGGAACCTATGTGTCGGCATTGGTTTATCGAACGGAATCCATGTGTCGGCTTTGGTATATCGGAATCCGTGTGTCGGCATTAGTATATCTGAATCCATATGTCGGCATTGGTATATCGGAACCTATGTGTCGGCATTGGTATATCGGAACCTATGTGTCGGCATTAGTTTATCGAACGGAATCCATGTGTCGGCATTGGTATATCGGAATCCGTTTGTCGGCATTAGTATATCTGAATCCATATGTCGGCATTGGTATATCGGTACCTATGTGTCGGCAATGGTTTATCGATCGGAATCCATGTGTCGGCATTGGTATATCGGAACCTATGTGTCGGCAATGGTTTATCGATCGTATGTCGGAATTCGTGTGTCAGCATTGGTATATTGGAATCCATGAGTCGGCATTGGTATGTCGAAACATATGTGTCGGCATTGGCATATCGGAGCTCATGTGTCGGCATTGGTATATCGGAATCTATGAGTCGGCATTGGTATGTCGAAACTTATGTGTCGGCATTGGCATATCGGAGCTCATGTGTCGGCATTGGTATATCGGAATCTATGTGTCGGCATTGGTATACACTGTATCCGGTGACACAGACATCCGGAGATCAGTCTCAGCCTTCAAGTGGCTCTTGTTCAGCGGTTAATTAACACTAATCAAAGTGACGGCTGTGAAACAGTCTCTCATCTCCTCTCTTTGAGTACCAACCCTCGTATCATTCATTGTGGTGTCCTCTAAATGCAGTTATATTTGTTTAATCACTTGCTAATCTATCCCATTGTACTGAACTATTGAAATGATCTCAACCTATGAAAAGCATTACAGCTATTGAAATACAACAAACCTGTTGAAAAAATTATATTTCTACACAACTTAACTTCGCAGAATGTGTTTCCTAGTGCTGATTCCGTACAGATTTATTTGCAGTTACATGCCCTTTCCGACCTTTTTTATTTACGTTTTAAACTAGGTTTCGATTGTTTCCTAACGAAATGTGTATGTCAAGAGAATTAACATTTTTTAATTTTAAATAAACACATTGCATTCTTCTTTTTTAAGTTGACTGAATGTAAATAAACTAAAATATAAAAATACAGTACATTGTCATAATGCAACTATAGGTAGTGTATTAAAACGTGATGTAACACAAGTAAAGGGTTTTTTCTCGTTAATTAACTACCACTACTTTTCATTGCAATTCTGGTGTTTTTAACAGTTAGCTTATGCACAGTTAGTCTATGAAATGTAAACAATTATAAAATGAAATTATTCTAAACTAACTTAACCGATCAAATTTGCTTATTATAAATTACAATCTGGTGGTGAATAAACGTAATTTCAATAAAAAAAAGTAGTGGTAGTGAATTAACGGAAAATTACCCGAGTGAATATTAGGACTGTAATGCGATGTATCTATGAGAGTAACTGCAGTTGCACAATGTTCTACCCTCTCACATTGTTTTACAGTATTGTAGGGGTTGTCGTAGTTAGATGTTTACTCCATGAAACTTTCCTTTTCACTTGTCAATGTTGGTATATGAGGGCGAGGGCGAGCTTGTATGTTGTATTACGATGGCTGCGAGTTGGAGAAAGCAATAACTGTTGCGACTCCCGTACGAGCGAGCAGCTGCGGTTATACGTTTTTATTCAGTTTTGGTGAATATGCATGCTGCTGTTATTTGTGCTTTAACATTGTATAGTATACGCTTTGCTCGTCAAAATGTTGTATTATGTCATATTTTTCAACCTATGAAGTTTAGTTATGGCGTAACAGACTGGATATGTCGAAAATAAATGTTGTATGTACTGTAAGAAAAAATCCTTGTCACAGAGGTATTTACTGAATATTTTAATGGTTTATTAAAACAATGCCCAACTGAACCGGTGCTATAACACAAGGGTTTGCTCATAAGCATGCTGTGAAAAACTGTCATGGCGATGAATCATCTACTGTAATGTCGTTTTAAATTAACCTGTTCATATCATACACAACTATACCTCCCCCTTCATTGTGCTATAGAAGACACAAGCTAAGCATTTTGATCGTTTTTAATCAGGCCTGAGAGGGAAACTTATTGTTGACTACTGTACTTTTACGCTGACTCAAACTCAAACTTCTTTATTTTTTACAGCTGTTACAAACTGCATAATAGCGTCAGCAACATTCTCTTGAACAAGTCAAAACAATATTTTCTTATGGATAAAATCTAAAAACTAAAGATCAATGTTTTCTTAAAAAGTCTTCAACACTGTAACACCAGCGTGACAAAAGAAGGCTCTCAACCCCTTTGCCAAATTTGTCCAAACTATTTTCCATCTTCAGGTGAGTGGGCAGTGCATTGAACAGTTGAATGCCATTGTACAATAAATAATTTTCAAAAAAAGCAGTTTTGGAATGTCTAAATCTTTGTTGGACCGGCTTCTCAAACCATAGGAGATAGGGTGAGACCAACGATTCTTGCTTTCAATTCGTTTAACATATTACAGTAATTTTAGGTGATTTTTTTCTCGGCTACGAAACTATTTTTTATCTCATGCACTGGAATATACAGTGTTCAATGTAATTATAGTATCACACACAAGTAACTAGTATCACATTTTTAGTAACCTACTTACCATGTTATATCTCGTATCTTGAGGAACGTTTATGATCAATCCTGAAAATCACACATATTTTTTATGCTCTCGTTAATCAATATACAGTATACTGTATATCGGGTAAATATGCTCATCAACAACATTAATATTTCAATTTCCTACTATATTTAGCTCTAGTCCTAACAAAATATATATTAGAATTAAAATATTTGTTTAGTCTTAGCTTGTTTGGATCTCAAGTACTCAACACAATCTGAATACTATACTTACCCGTTTTTGCGTTCACAATGCTAATTGTCCTGTATGAACAGTGAGTATTTACTGTAATAATTGTTCGTACATGGTCTACCATTTTAATAAATATGTTAAAAATTTCATGTTATGAACTGAGGTTTTAATAAAATTACTCGACTGGCCGGGGCTATGATGTTATTTTTATATGATTCTGATGTAGGCCACACTTGGATAAAAACGTCACTTTCTGTTGTTGCCGTGTAGGCTTCATATTAAACTTTTTTACACGATGAACTTTTTATGTTATTATAGACTAGTATTATGTTGTATGACCCCCACATAATAGGAGGTCTTATGCAACTAATTTACTACATTCAACGCGATGAAATTTGAACTTAAAGTTTCCTTGCAGTGATAAAAAGTATGTTTCCCTACCTACATAATAATAACCAAATTTCTGGGAAATTTCGTACCATGAATAAATATAATTGGCCCATTAACGTCTTAGTTAGCCTGGGAAAGCCAAAGATTATCTAACAACTGACCTTCCCATTTCTTGAAGACCTCTGTGATAAAACTCATTGGCCAATCCGCTCAAGATACTACTGACCTCAATCCATCTTTAGACAATATTGTTGACAAACAAAAACACTAATGTGATTTTACATTAGAAGCATGATTACTCTGGCTGTGATACGTGGTGTACTATTATTTTAGGATAGCAATACAAGTCCCTGTTGGATTTTTCTTTTAAATGAATTCATCCCTTTTTTCCCTTTGTTCCATCGGTTATTTGTAATGTGTAAAAAAAAACTGTGTATTTTTGTCCCAATCATGGTTGTTAATAAAATCTTGAGTAAAAAATCAAGAAGTCCCCGGTCGTGTCCGTTTTGCGTAGATTAAGCAGTGTTACATGAATGCGTGGTAAAGGGTAAGGCGAAGGTCAACCGTTCTGTTATTACAAAATCATTTTTCCTGTGTCATTATTGAAGCTAACCTAAATTGTAATGAATTGTAGCAATTGAGTTGTGGCTGAGGGAGGCATCACAACTGTATGACGGATATAACAGTTAGCAGTAGATACGATGATCAAAAGTTGACCTTCATTCCGTCATGAGGCGTGTGATTGTGATAACCTAGCATTTACAGCGTGTGTGTAGTGGACTGTGGAGTGGAGTGCTGATATAAAGCCTACGTAGACCTACACCACCGCCACCGCGACCGCGTCTGGCGATCGTGTGACGGTGACCCCATTTAAGAGAGGAGTTCGCATAACATATTTATTTTTTGCCTTATAATTCAACTAATTAAACTAGTAAGGTATTTGAAGCTTTGTAATGTTTCAATCTAATTTTGGAGGCATCAATATGTCACTCTAATCCAATGCAAATAATTTTGGACTGCATGAGGCGATCCTGGAGTAGCATCGCAGTAGTTTATCGATGGCATCGCGGTGCCGCTACTTTCAATTTATCATTACAGTTATTTATTAATGGTACTGTATCGAATCACCCCTTGCTTTGGATGTAAGTTCCACACACAATTATTTGAGACCCATGTTTTTTTCTTTTTAGTTGTATGTAGATGGCTGAATGCGAGTATAAGCCAACCTCCTTTGATTTTTCCGCCCGTATGTTGTCTCGTCGAAGCTTTGCGAGTAAAAATAGCTGCTTGTACAATGATAAAAGCCTTATGATGTTGCAAAAAGTGTGTATACTATTTGTATAATCACTCGATTTTTACATTACACAGTAGTTATATCTGAAAATACAAAAAAAACTTCTAATTACACTTGTAATAATGTATTTAAACTTAAATAAGACTCGTTAATACATATAAAAGATGTATTTACCGTCTTGTGAGTCAACAGTATAGGTTAAATATATTATTACAAGAGTTATTCGACGTATCCTTTTACATTTTCAGTTAATTTAAAAACAACTTAGTTATATATATAGGTTTCTTGGCGCGGCACAACGATAGAGGTTTTACACAGTATTAGTACTCAGTACTCAGTATTGTTATCTATTGCTGACTGATGCTGCCGCAGCGCTAGTCACAGTACAGCATCACAGTCAGTGTCTACGTCGCGTCCGCTACACGCTTCTGTGCTGCTGTCTCACCGACCACCGCTACCGTATGAATTACACTTACATAACCACATGCACTAGTTGTTATTTTGTAAATTCTCTCTAATCATAATTTTTTGTTGGAGGTAAACTTATATAGTTAAGTAACAATCAAGTGGACTACATGCCTTGTGTATAACCTGATTTTCTAAGATCATTTAGGGATAAAACACTAAACAACAAATAAGAATTCATTTGTAATTTAGAAACTTTTTCATTATAGAAGTAAAAGAATGTATTTAGCTCTCTGCGTGTTTGATATTTTACAAAATATAAGAAAAATAATACAAATGCAATTATATATGCTAACTCAGTTCCAGTATGTAAAACTGTAATTTATTTTAATATCTCATTGCTTTGTTTATCGGTACTAACAACAGAGACATTATTTATAATATTATTTTAGATAAAAAATGTTTGGAATGAACGGAAAACTAAATTATGTATTCGCGACCTTAACTGTGCTGGGATATATCAATAAGTTGTTATTTTTATTGTAAAATAAAATACAACATTTATTTGTCTATGGGATATATTGTTGTAACTTAAATATAATTTTCATGTCATATAAGGATTTAAAAAGGTAGTGTAATTGTATCTTTTCGTGTATGAACCTAAATGACTGCATGGTTCGCGTTACTGAAATGTTGTGAAGCACAATTTAATTCCATAGCATTTACTCTGATATTATACTCTTTTGTAATGATCGTTGTCACGTCATGTACAAAATTATATTTTTAACCTTCATAGACTTGAAAGTAACTTTGTTTCCGTCACGTGATTAGTTTGAAATAAAACTCGGTATAGTACATTATCTTTGATTAGCTTAGAGCTTCGCATTTTCTTTGTCTCTTAAACGTTTGGTTTCTCTATTTAATTCAACTGATACATTTCTTTATTGGTTGTTTCTTATATTATATCCAGGTTAAACAGGAGAAAAGGAATACATGTTTCTTACCGATATATGTATACAATTGCAGTCTGGATATTTAACATTAAAGTAGGTACCTACTGTGATTGTTAAACCGATATTAGCAAACGTAAACATGCTAAAAAAAAGTATTACATACGCACGTTTGTGGTGAATTCTGGCCAATTTTGTCAAAATTATGTAAATGTACCAACATACTGTGGGACAATCCCTGCAACTACTAGCGTGAGCTTTGGTATAAGCTATATCGAAAATCACTAAAAACGTATACACATACAAAACGGTACAAAACATTGGGGCGTGTCAATGTATTTACTTCCTTCATTGAGTATTATTGTTGTCGATCGATATTATGCTTGACTAGGAGGCCCGTGAGCAAATTGCGTATTTTAATTGTGCTCAAAACTGGTTTATGAGGCAAAACGAATTATCCAATACGATTTTAATTTTCAAAGATTATGTGGTTAACTGTAAGACCGCCATTAAGTGAATAAAACTTCCAATTTACTATTAATAAATTAATTCTTTTATTTTAAATCCACATCATAGAGAGTAATTTACCTAACTTGATCAAATTACGATTACTATAAAATTTGCATATTTAAAATCTATCTTCATAAACAGTTACGATTCTTGTCAATATTATGGCTGTAGTAAACATTCAACTGAACAATTGCCTGTTAAAATAATTTCAAATTTAAACCTTTAAAGTTGGCCATCATCTCTATATATTTGAAAGCAGACTCATAAATCAAACTGAAACCTTAAAGGAAATGATGCACCTTTTTAGTTACCATTCTTCTCTCCGCTATGTCATGAGCTCAATCGTAAAAACCGTTTAAGTAGGACGTCTGGAAATGGGATGGAACAGGGAAAAGAGTTTTTGTTTAGTAACTATTCAAAGTTGTTTTAGTTATGATGTAAGAGCATGTTAACGACAGCGTGAGGATCAATGAACTATTGACTATCCTTGGCTACTTTGTCAGCATTGCTATGTTAGGTAGGCCTACTGTAGTGTAGGCTGGTGTAAAGCTGGGCGGCCCGCGGCAGTCACTGTGGCTCCATTATCGCTGGAAATGGCACATTAACGGCTCAATGGCAGTCGGCACATCATTTCCTCCATGTCGTCAGATATACAGCCGAGATATTCGACAATTACCTTCGTCTACAAAGTAACCTTCGTCTCGCGCGCCAACATCCTCAATGTCTCCGCCGTCCACTCCCCACTGCACAACTATCAACGCCAACGGACGCGTTGTTAATAATAAATGAAAATAATTACCATGCAGTTAATTGGTGATTGTCATGTTTATAGTGATCCCCAACCACCATTAAATATATGACATGTTAGCGCCAGATGTAATTATTGTTTTGTTATCTTAACAATATTGTTAATATTTTTATCATACCGTACCGATTCTGCAGGTTCATAACAATAACAATTTCGATTATGTAGGTTGTTAAATCAGTTAGCCTAAATCTTGATAATTCGACCCTAGGGTACTAGAAGATTACCCGTTTACCAAAATGCCAGATAAATAGCCTTGTATACCAAAAGTCATGTGATGCCTTATGATGGCCTCCTATGGTGTCCTCTTCATAATTAATCTGCGATATGTCAGACATATCACAATGATTCATAATAATTGAGAGGTACGAAATAATTTGTTTGGTTTTATTCAATGTTTATGTCAGACATATCACAAATAAAAATCTAGAACTGAAACATCGGCAGATTACTAAGTCTAAGTGGAAAATGTATTAAAATTCATAACAAAACGAATAATTTGTTACACATAATGAATTCAGAGACAAAATTTCAATATTTTTACACTCAATTGCTAGTTACTTGAAAAAACTAAATTTCAATTTTAAAAATTACTTGGACAATAACAACGGCAATGTGTACTAATACAAAGTAGTTTTATAATAATATGATTATTTTTCTCTTGGATGTTTTGCATTGTGTCATGCTATATTGAATCTATCAGCAGCAGGTTTTATTGATTACTGGATGGTTAAACTACAACTTAAAGATTTTTCTATTCACACTTACTTTGATAAATAACCTTCTACACATAACTAGTAAATTCTTTGTATTTTTTTGCAAATGGTTTGGATAGCTCTTGAGGAGTGATGGACTGGTTTCATTTGCAGAGGCAGGATTGGATAATAGTAGGCTAACAAAAATGTCAGCATCCAGTTGAAATAGTCTTGGGACAAGTCAAAATGTGCAACTTCCTCCATAAACTTAAGTGGCTCTAAACATATTTATTCTGCTGCCTTCCTCAGTATGTCTGAGATGCTTACATTTTCTTCTAAAGTAGGCACTAGATCTGTAGTTTAAATGTTCACTACAATGAAAATTATTTAGTTGCGTGAGATTTATTATCCTAGTAAACTGTTCTCAGAAAGAAATAATAGCCTACAACTTATTGTTTTAAGCCGGTTTGTCTAAAATGCCATTATAAGTAATACTAGAATTGTAGGCACGCCTTTATTTGACCACCTCCATCATTCTTTTGCAGGTAGCCTATTCTAACATAAACATTGGTTTAATAAGTCAATTTTTTAAAGTCTGTGATGAAATTCTCTGGTTTGATTGGTACAAGCAGTATTAGTAACATAATTTTTATTATCAACAGTAATGACAATATTTCCAAAATGTTTAAATTGCCAACAAAAAAATACTCCTGAAATAGTTTGCAAAGGAGCGTTCATGTGTCTTTGTGTTAAGTATGTATTTAAAGTACTTACATTAAAACACGATTAATTATATGAAAAATAAAACTTGTGATTGCATGTGTTAAGATGATTATTTTTCAACTACTTCCATTATAAAACTACAGTATAGTACAGTATTTAAATGTTGGGACCTAATTTAACAAGTTAGACTTTATACCATATCCGAAATAGCCTTTAAATTAAAAAAAATTTATGTGCAGTGTATGTATTTTAATATTTTTTAGGAAATAATTACCTACCAAGGTCTCTGTGTGATAACATAAAACACTTCTCCCCCTCCACACAGACATCATCTCTGCCAACATACAGTTAGTAGGTAGTACACAACTGCTTCATCTTCCAAGTTTGTATCATTCAATACATTTATAATTTCTTATATGTACATGTGTCTTGTATTGCAAATCACTGACCTTAAATAGTTTTTACATTTTTAGCTTTGTGTTTGTGGGTCACTTAATAGTTTATTTTTGGTTATAATAGCAGGATTGTTAATAAAAAACTAATTTCAAATGTCCATAATCAATTTTTATTATACACAATATTTTGTTTTTACCTTTCAAAATTTATTTTTTGTAAACTTTATTTTGGTTTTCATTATACAGTAGTTATACATGCATATCCATGGAATATCCATGTACTTGCATATTCATGCAAGTGTTTAAACTCAACGTCACTACCCTAATATTATCTTATTAATTTTATAGTAATTAGTGAATCACATAGCATTGTATTAATTATTTTTTTGGAGCTCCAAACCCCCTAAATAGATATACGTATACTGTCTCCCTCTCTTTATTCTCTGCTAAAGCTCAAGCATTGAATAATGATCTGATGAAATCACTTTTTATTTTAAAAAAAATTAGGCAGATATCTTAGTGCTGAAAAAAAAACTGTATAATTCTAGTCTATCTAGAATTTACGCTTGTGTCCCAATAAAATATATTCAACAAAAATACACTACCTATATTAAGATTTACATATATCTATATAGACTGAGATAATACCCACTTGACTTAAATCGATCACGGCATCTTTGTTCCTCTTGATGAACGGGGAACTTGACACTTAGAACAGCTTCACATGCATTCACTGTTTATACAATTATAACTTAATCAAGACTCTTGTGTACTTGGAGGCTCATGCGGAACGTGGCTTGTTTGACTTCTGATCGAGACTTTGATTGTAACTTTCCAGGTGACTCGCTCACAGCTCTCAGTCGTGTTGAATGTTCTATAATGGGGGTTTGTAGTTTCTTAGGTAATGACGTGCAGTATAATACACATTTGACTCCTCCAAAGTGAAGATGAGGCTTTTTTATAGTGTTTACTCTTACTTAGTCAGATGGATGTGCCAAGTTCGAGTGCCTTTCTGTTTAGTTAGCTTCCATTGCATGAACGCTGAAGAGATTTCCTCCTCGTTAGCAACTATGTTTGGCCAGTTCGAACATATGATTCCGTTAACATACACTTCGCCAATCCAGTGTAATGTATAGTTTTTAAAAACTTACTGGAGTAGTTTTTTTTTTTTTTATTATTATTCAAAAAGAATCATTAGGCTATATTTAAATATTGCCATTGAATACAATTTTCAGATTGAATCTACTCAGTCTACTAAATATCACAAGAAAATTTTACTTATATTACAAGCCATGGGATTGATACTGAAACCACAGAAAAACAAGGAGGTCCTATAGATTTATTTCTCTATGATCAAATTTTGTAATTATTTATGTATTCCCGTACTATTAATTAAGCTTACATTGAGGTTTTCACCAAAAGTTGCAATACAATGAAATGTATAGGATGGTAGGGTCATTAACGTGTACTTTTTTATGATAATAAAGTTAGCATTTCATATTGATTTTCATGTAAAAACGTAATAGCCAAAATAACAGAACAAAAATTAAATAGGCTTGTTTTATTGAAAATTACTGTCATATTCATATTGGGGCAGTAGTGTGTCTTTTTCTGTAAATGATTTCAAGTTTCAATCCAACCTGTTAGAAAACTATAAAAAAAATCATCATTCTAAGGCCGTCAACACACGGGAAGACTGTTTTCCAACTGAAATCGGCAACCAGTTGGACAAACTAGTCGCCTACGTCCCGACCAATGTAGTTAAGTGGGACAGTGCACACGGTGCGACTGCGATGCGACCAGTTGAGGACCAGTCGGCGATCCGTCGTTAAGCAACCGGACCTGCCGGTTGCTAGGTGATTTCAGTCGCCTGGTTTGAACAACTTTTCGCATATTTGTATTGCGCTTTTCAAGGATCAGGTATACCAACTGCGATAACTCTTCGTAAGCACTTTTGACATCCTGTACATAGACTGAAATTTTGCGTCTGTTTCTTGTAATGCAGCAACAGCTACAAAGAGCCTACATTAAATATTTGTTTTAACATAAGGATGTACCCAACACCTTCTACTCTACGCTTTCTTGATTGTTTATAAAACACTAGGTCTTTTTCATCTCTATTACTCATTTCAAACACCATACACAGTAGGCCTACACAGTATCGTTATAACAAAATTAGAACTCATTCACTGTCTCAACTCAATTATAGTCGCGCCCGTGTGCGGATGTAACCAACGCAACTGCAACCGTAATCGCGTCACAAAACAGTTGGTTCAACTTTAGTTGGGTTTCAGTCTTCCCGTGTGTCGACCGCCTTAACGGTGCGATGAGAATTGAACACGTTACATATCCCAACCTTACTTTTGTATTGTGTGATATCTTATCGATTATTTAGGAACATGATGTTTGAAAATTACACTTTAGATGAAAAGAAATAGGTCAATACGTTAAGAGGCAGTTGCATATTAATGCTACCCATATTTAGTTTGTGCTGTTAACAGAGACTGAAGGTGTGGAGTTTAAACTGAGTTTGAAGTTTCGGATGTTCATAAATAAATAACTTTAAAAGGTCTTTATCAAGCAAGCCTTTTTTTAGAAACAAATTTTAACAATTGAATAAATTTTGCTTTCAAAACAACTTGTGCCATTAATCTAATAAACTTTACTTTTACGTTTACCTTTAACTCAACTTTGCTGTCAAATTTATCTCATTCTAAAATTTACTTAATTAGTTAATTATAAGTATTACTTTTGATATACCATCCAAATCAGTGATAATATTTTACATTTTAATTGAAGCTCTTACCAAATGTTCAGAATAAAACTTTGATATACTACATGCAAAAATCACCCTTAAAATCATTTTCACCTAAAACTTTGTTCATACACCTTAATCATTTCATCAATCACGATCACATAGTATCAGTTAGTCTCCGATGAGTTACACGAGGTGGTGGTCGGTGTACAGGGTAGTCGGTGTATATGTGTTGTGTCTACGTAGGTGTGTACAGACGCGTGATGGCAGTTCGGTTCCTCACGTTGGTCGTGGTGTTCGCACTAGTACTGCTGATAGTACAGTCATATCGTTTGCCGGACTCTGACTCGGTGACTGGTGTGATCAATGCTACAGAGGAGGACGCACCTCTCCCCATGGCTGAGGACAGATGGTTCCCGATCAATCATACTACTGCCAACTTGGACCGGAAAACCATTTCTCGTAGAGATACGGTCAAGCAGGTACAATAGTACTTTACTACTGTACTGTACACAAGGATGGTAAATAAAACCCTTGGATGTCATCTAAATGACACTAAATATGTTTCATTAATTTTATATTAAATTTAAGTGGGGTTTTGTTTAGCTTTATTTAGTATTTGCTACTTATGGAATGATAGAAAAGGAAAGTGTTTTTAGATGGGACAACAAATATAAAGATGAAAAATGTGTCTTTTGACAAATATTTCAAAACTATGTATTTTCATAATTTTTTCACATAAGTTTAATAAACAGGACTTATACCATCCTGTTTTTATAGGTGTGTATTTTTAACAATATTTATATTTTATATACTTGTTACAATTTGAGAGAGAGAAGAGAGGTCGGTCCTGAGAAGGTGGCTGCATGTTTATGTATTAGCCATGTTTTGCATGAGAGACAGCATTGTGTTAAGGATTCACAGAGAAACGTAGGCATCTGCAATAAGTCTGTTCGTAATACACGAATGTCATCTAAAGTACTTTCTGTTTATTATTCTTTATGTTTAAGGAGAATTTTCAACAATAGACAATATCTGAGGTATCTTATAGTAAGGGAGCATTTAGACTGTTTGGAAAGTTTATAATTTCCCAAAGACTATTTTGTTAAATAAAGTTTCCTTGTAGCATAAAAATGATCAAACAGGTAATGGAGAAGGGATGTTGCTTGAAAGCTTCCTGGTCATTAATATAGCAGGATATTGTGAGGCCAGGCAGGATTCTTGCATGTGAGAGGAGAAATTCCTCTCTCTTTATTCAAACAAACCAATGCAAAGTAGTACTGTAAATTAATTTCAACATCACAATTATTTAATAAGACTTTTTAACCATCATTATTTATTATGAAAAGTGTATAAAAACTTTGTAACTATATATTTTATATTCTCATCCTAATTAATGTTCAGTTAATCTTGATTTTAGGCTATATGAAGGTAAGTGTCTGGTGTCAGTTTGTTTTACATGTTTGCTTTTTTATTACTTTTGTTAAATTTAAAATCTACATTTGGTGATGTCATTATTTAGAAAAATAATGAAATAAAAATAACTCTAAGCAAATTGCAGTTGTAGTTTTCCAACTGAGAGTCTTCTATGAAGAAACACACTTTTTAAGTTAAATAATTTGTAAATTTTAAAAGTACGGTATTTGGATTTGTTTAGTAAAGTATGATATTTGGTACAAAAAGAACCAGTGTTGATTACCGAGATTGTGGTGGTAAGTTTAAACAAATCTATACTATAAGTTTCTCCTGTATTTCAACTAACTGCTCTTTCAGAGGATGCATACAAGCTTATACCTGCTGTATCCAATAGTCAATTAATGCTTATACCTAGGTTTGGACTTCTGGGGAGATCAAGGGTATTTTCTAAACTTTCTTTTCCTGTGCTGTTACCCTTCACTTATAACAGGTTTCTACAAAACTTACCTTTAAAATGGTTCACCATAATTGACGAAGAATGAGTGTTGATGGGTGGTGAGATACTCTACCATATCGTTGTTGTTCTCGAGGCTAATGTAACCACTTGTGTTACAGATGATGAAGCATGCGTGGGACAACTACGTGAGGTATGCCTGGGGTAAGAATGAACTGAGGCCGGTCAGCAAGCGAGGACACTCAGGCAGCATCTTCGGTTCAGCCTCACTTGGGGCGACAATCATGGACGGGCTTGACACTCTCTACATCATGGGGCTCATGGACGAGTTCAAACAAGGTCGCGACTGGATAGCAGAGAACTACAGTCTCGACCAGCTGGTAAAAACCTATTTCTAGTAGGCTACTTGTAAATGATTGACTTTCTAATGGTAAAAAACTGCTAAAATTCTGTTTTCAGAATATTAAGTGTTATAAAGAAGTACTGTACTTGCTGAATATTATTTTATTGAAATTAAGGACATAACTTTCTGCTTCCAAATCTGTGCTTCTAAAAAAACTCTAATAATTGGTAAAATGTCGGACTTGTTAAATATCCTTTAATTAAATTGATACAAAATTGTTGTAACCACATTCAAGATCAAAACACATATGTAGTTCACAATCACAATTCTGATAACTCACTCGTACATCGACAATTATTCAGTCATATACCCAGTTAGTTGCGCCACAAGGTTCTCAGGGTTTGGGTACAAATCACACATTGTTAATCATCATTGTGATGACAAAACCTGGTACTGTAGTTCGAAACCTACCTTCAGTTGTACGTAAAACGTATATTCTATTTGTAAAACAAAAAAGGTGTTTAAGAGATATTTTTCTGTTTTGGAGAAATATTTCACTAAATCATTTACTATAATTTTATTTGTTTATGTGGTAGAACTAGTATCACAGTATGATCTATGAGCTGTTAAAATTAAATATTTTGTATTTTATTCATCAACTAAACTCATTTCAAGTTATAAGTTACGGTACCTAGATCCAGGAAATAAAATAAAAAATATATTTATCACCATATCTTTAGAAGCAACTGGGTGTATTTTAACCCAAATATTAATCAAGGCTTAGTATGGAATGGGTAAAGACCCTCTTGCATGCAGTGACTTTGTGCAAGTCCACTTTAGCTGGGATCATCTATTTAAGAAATAATCAAGGAGAAATACTATGTTTCCGTATTGGAACATAATCCTACACCTAAAGTCATACAATAATTTTGTTACTAAACTATCCTTTTATGTTTAAACAGCACATTATTAGTTTCATTATACGTTAGACACTCTTCCCTTATTTGTTGGAACAGTTAGTGTGCTTGAATTCATCATGACGTTGATGGAATTATTCAAATTGTGCTGTATTTGTTTATGCAGGGCCTTATATTTGATTTTAAAAACTAACTATTCAAATTAAATAAGATTTTTAATTGCTTGGTTATTTTTCAACTGATTGACTAGCGGTGATTGTTCACAGAGTATTGATCTGTCAGTGTTTGAGACCAATATCAGGTTTGTGGGAGGGCTGCTGACTTGCTTCGCACTGACAGGCGATGTCATGTTCAGAGACAAAGCAGAGCACACAGCACAGAAACTGTTGCCTGCCTTCCAGACACAGACTGGCATACCTAATGCTCTCATCAACACTAAGACTGGGGTAAGTCAACACGTAGTCACTCACAGTCTTGTTTTGTTACTGAGATAGTTGATGTGACGTAAAACGTATTATAGGATACAATAAGTTGTCCTTTCACTTATGCTTGGCTGAATGTTAACATATTCAAACTAAAACAGTAATACATATCACACTCTGTAGCGGGCTCAATTGAACTACACTCATCTTAATGTCAAACAGGCTACAATTTTAAAAGCTTGCGACTCTTCAAACTTATAACTAAAACAAATACAACATAAACATTATTTTAATTATATGTTTGATGAGTTGCAAGCTTCGATAAAGTTGTCTTCACAATGAAACATGTAAACCATTGTGGAATCTGATGTATGTAAAACCTGTTATTGTCTTAACAAAATAGTTTAAGGGACCAGAAATATGATTGTATCTTCAGTGGCAAAAGAGCTATAAAATTTTGAACATAAATGGGTATGACTGAGTATTTATTTCTGAGAAGTTGAATACTTGAAACAATAGCATGTGATTTAAGGCAAAAGAGAAGAGGCAGAAATGGAAATAATACATTTTGCTAACATTTATAACAGACCTTGAGGCTTGAAAACATTTAATTTCTTTCAATGTCCACTTATAAAATAATAAATTCTAGTCCTAAATGATTTCCTGAATGTACATTTTTTTACCTTTTCCCTCATTGGAAGGGGTGAGATGCAAGAGTAATCATGTGTGACAAAGGTTAGGGTGACTAATGCTGGGTTTATTGTGTTGGAGGACAATGACTGAGGAACTCCATTATTGCCTTCAACCCTCTCACACGAGAACTGCTCTTGTTGTTCACTACCAGTTGAGAGACAAACATCTCCTCAATCACTCATAAAGTCAATTTTTTTTTTTTTTTGCTGACAAATACACAAGTTTATTACCAATAATAATCCCTATTGTCTTGTTTTTCCTTTGGTAACTATGTCTTATCTGAACTTTTAACTTTCCCTTCCTATACATAAGATACATATTTTTTCCATATTTTTTTCCATATTTTTTTCCATACTTTTTTCCATATTTTTTAAATGCACATATTTTTTATGCCTGTGGAGATTGGATTGTTTATGTCAAAATGTTTTAGTTTGAGTGGAAATATCTGTTTTGGATCCCCATGAACCCAAAAAAGTGGGTTTCAAATTCAATGTGTATCGTGGATGTGTACAGATCTCCCACAACGAAACACTATACAACACCTACGTTTCGATTTATAATGAAATTTGGTATGTGGGTACTAATCCATAGTGTCTCATGGCATTTTTAAATTCTGATTTTAAACTTTTTTTGTGAAAGGTTTATATAAAATCCCATAGAGTAATAGAAAATCAAGATTTTAACAAAAAAGTTGATTAAAATTTAATAAGTATAATCGATAGAGTAAAAATAAATTCACCTAGTAAAAGATACTCAACTGATCGGGCAATTTACTTTCGATCTACTTTAGAAATATTTTGCCCATTAGAAGTCTCCCTGTGTAATGTTTATTTTATTTCATGTGATAAAGACTAATAATAATTAAGTGAACTCCTTAAGTATACCTTAAACATGTTTTAAAATGCCTAGCTTGTATTTTTAGAGACAGTTCAAAGAAAGGATCAGAAGACACTCTTAATGGTAGGGCACATTGCTTTCACAACTGACAAAACTACATTGTGTGTCCGTTTGTCAAGTTGGCATAGTGATTACCGGTCCCCATACTTCTCCTAACTGAAAATCCTTTTATCAGTGATCACAGGATCAGTAGATGTCAATGCTGCCTAGTAATAGCAAATAGGCTGAAACCTCACAAGTAGTGATGTGTCGTGTTACCTGAAGTACCTGAAGTAAACTATCTGTACCACCAATTCTCAGGAAAAGTATGGGTACCAATAACAGTTATAATATAACTAATGTTAAAATTTTGTACTTTTATTTCATTATCAATTTGTTTAATTGGACCCATTTTTCTCCTGCAGAGGAAGTATTTCATATGGGTGTAAGTTAAATTGTTTTATAAAGACTAATGAAAAATAGTCAAATATCAATTCTTATTGATTTGGAATGCTAGAATTTGTAATTGTTACACCCTTGAGTTGGGAATTTAAGCTTGAAGAGGATGGATATAAAAAAGAAAACAGTTTATCAATGTCACTTACTTAAGAATTAAATCTCTTAAATTAAAGGTTTAAATTTTGTCATCCCATTAATTCCATTTTTTATTCCAATTTCAGACAAGCAAGAACTACGGCTGGGCCAGTGGTGGGGCCAGTATCCTGTCAGAGTTTGGAACTCTGTCCCTGGAGTTTGGCTACCTCAGTGATGTGACTGGCAACAGTGTGTATCACAACAAGGTAGAGCACGTCAGACAGTTCCTCAAGGGGATGGAGAAGCCTCGAGGCCTCTACCCCAACTATCTCAACCCAAAGACTGGGAAATGGGGCCAGCGTGAGTATTGACATGACCAAGAAATGATTTACAAAGAAAAACACTTCATATATTTTTTTAGGCTTTGTAGTTCTACTTTGACATAATCGATTGGGCCAACACAAAAAACCCTCGTTCATTACTGTAACACAGCGGTCCCCAAACTTTTTGGTCTAGCAACCCACCACCACCTTGGAATTTTTTTCAAGAGCCACCTTTTAAATAATAATAATAGGCTATGATTATTAATTATTATAAATTCATTAATGTGTACGCTGAGAAACATACCATTAAATGAAAATTGTTAATATGGTACTATAAAAAGTATTACATCTAGTCCAAAACACTATTATAGGTATTCACTTTAGAACCGAAGTTTAGCATTTTCTACACGTCATATCCTATTTCTCTATTTTATTTTATGGAGGTTACACTCTCATACAAAAACGTTTTACGACCCAATTAAGTTAAATTAATCTTAAGCCTTGCGCACAGTTGATTTGACTACAAAAACTCAAGTTTAAAGAAAGCTAAGGGGTATAAAAGTACGTTTATAACAAGCTTCTTTAGTAGGCCTAAATCGTGGATTTATTATCAATCCATTCTAACTATATTCTGTAATCGAAACACTAACCTGATCATCTCCAATGATAACGGTCACTTTGTAATCTTCTCCCTCGAAGCGGTAACATTATCTCCATGTCTTTTAAGATTGGTCCAAAAACGAATGAGCTTTGCCCTATTGCCCTTTGCCTATTGCGGCAATATTGTTATAGGTCCCGAAAACTTTGAAGAAATTGAAGACAATTTCCTCGATCTCAATATTAGAGTGTTATTCACACCCAAAAGGTCCCAATAAAGTATTCAAATTGACAAGCACAAATTAAAAATGAAATTTCCCAATCAATTAGTATTAGTATTTACATTTTCTAGTTTTGAGATAAAAACACATCAATCACAATAAACTGTGAATAATCTAAAAGTTTTTGTATGTAAAACCGTGCCCCTTGCTACCCGCTAGGTACTATTCTGCTGCTCACTAGATCTTTCTTGTAACAAAAATTTAAAAATAAAGTCTATGTAAAAAAAAATAATTTCTAATGTTTGATCTTGCAACCCATATGTTTGGTCGCGACCCATAGTTTGGGAATGGCTACTTTAACAGGTCTAAGAGATTGTCATAGAACAACAAATAGCAAATTAAATATATTAGTATGTGGGAAGCCATTAATTAATAAAAGGCTTTTAAGATTAAATTAAGATGAAAAGGAACTCAAAATAGTTTTCAAGAATACACATTTTCTCACAAATAATTTGAGGATTTTGAAGTTACAAGGAGACATAATCATCACCTGTAATAATGGTGAAATTGTGATTTTTGACTGTGCAATTTTTGTAGACGCTTGGGATTTCATGTGTGCTGCAGCTTACTTTAAACTGGTCAGATCTTTCTGCAGGCCTCTTAGTCGCCATACGAGAATGTCACACTGTTGCTTGTTGTTCTGCTTTGAGAGAGAGAGAGAGCTAAAGCTGGCTATTTGATTTACAAACATGCTCATATTAATTAAAACATCATTAATTACATCAAAATGCCAACCCTTGCAACAATTTTCACACTTATCCCTTTCCACTCCAATTACGGGAGGCCTATTTTCTCACCAGCTCCACTTAATTTGAGCCAAATTTGCATATTTCATTTGTTTGCCAAAAAATTTATAGAAGGCTAGTAATATTTTCCAAATACTTAAAAAAAAAAAATCTTAAATCAAAATACAAGCATAATAGGCCTACGTTGTCATAGCGACGGGCGGGCCCGGCCCGACATTGGAGTTTGTGCGGCCATGACGAACAGCAGAGCTCCCCTGCCAATTGAGCGGAAAGGGTTAAGTTATTTTTATGGATAACAAATTATATGCTAGACCTCTAACCAGCACAGTCCTTCTTCCTTCCTTTTTGTCTGTACAGCATGTGGTGTGCATTCAGAAGCTGTTAATCTTATATATATATTTTTATCTAATTGGTTTTTCTTTTCTGAATTCGTTTGGCTCTGCTACCCAATCGATTTTCATGATTGAGGTCTCAAATTGAAGGTATACACGCACAGATTTGCTATCAAGCATCAGCTAATATTTATCTATAATCCCACTTGGCTTATACGTAAAAGAAATTTGCTCCCCATGTATTTCTTATGGGAGTTAAATTTAATATTTTTATCCGAGTTTGTTTGGCTCTTCTACCCGACCGATTTTCATGATTGAGGTCTCAAACTGAAAGCATGCATGCACAGATTTCACACCAAGCATCGGCATATATTTACCTACTGTATTACTCGACCAAAAAACATAATTCGATTCATTTTTGAATTCTTACTTCAATTTAAAATGTATTTCACCAGTTATAATTATATAATCCTATATATTTTGTGATTACTTTCTGTGAAATACCTGCTTTCATTTAAGCTATCATTCAAATTGGACGAGTTTCAAGCAAACTCAAGGTGAACAACCAACATAAAAATCATTTTTCATAAGGTTTTTCTATGATTAAAAATCAATAGCTCCAGTATTGTTTGTGTTTGTTTTAGACTCAAAACACCTTAACCCTAGATCCAGTTCCTTTTAAGGTGTTAAGTCTTCAAAACTGTGTAGTTGTAGATCTTGAGCTTAAAGCACTGACAAAATTCTAAAGAGTGACAATTTTGACCGTCCTAAAAACTCTTTCAATTCCCTGTTAATAATATTTGTATGCTGTGTTGCAGACCACATGTCTATGGGTGCCCTGGGAGACAGCTACTACGAGTATCTACTGAAGGAGTGGCTAAGGTCAGGTAGAGAGGACCAGGAAGCAAGACAGATGTATGATGAGGCCATGGAGGCTGTCCTGGCTCATATGCTGCAGACCTCTTCTGGCGGACTCATGTATTTCTCTGACCTCAAGTTTGACAGGCTTGAGCACAAGATGGACCACCTTGCCTGCTTCTCTGGTATTACTAGTGTATTGTTTATATACCAATCATATAAAGGATGTTTCTATTGATTCAACCTTATAATCGACAAATGCTGTTTGTTAAAATTAAGGTCTCCACTAAATCCAAGTGGCAGCCAAACAAGCTAGCTAACATCAAACACCAGTCTCATGTTCTTCTCTTCCCTCTATACTAGAGGTGTGGGAGCCTGACATTTTCAATCATTCGACTAAGTGTACCGATTTCCAATTATCTCCTGTAGTATTAGAAAGCTAATTGGTTTAACTTACCTCTCTTTGTCTTGTTATCCTTTGTACACATACTATGGTTTCACACTTCTGGAGTCTATCATCAGATGTGAAAAAAACAACAGGCCATCTATCCCAACAGGTTACCATTTGATGTAGATGACCTAATGTTTTTGATAGAATGTCAGAAACTATAGTACTGTACAAAAGATCACTCAACAAAGCTAGGTATCTTAAACCACTTAATACCGTGAGATCATCATCACCGTATTTCATCTTTGGGGCATAATCCTGAACAGCTCCTGTGGTCGATTAGAAATAATTATCATCATTACTCACAACCCTGGATATTACCCACAGTCACAGAAAAACATGGTCACTGTGTTCCACAATCGCGACAAAACCGTGAAAATCTCCTGAAGTCATGTAGGTATAACCGTTTTCTCCTGTACTCACAGAAACATTATTGTTATCATCCCCAATTGTGACGAAGCATGAATTTTTTATTGTGTGACTTTCAGAGACACGTTCTGGAGTTACGATAACAATGCGATCGTTAAGGCTCTGCTCGAGCTTAATTTTCTGACTTTGTGATGGATCTCTCAAGCTTGTAGGCTAGGGTCAGCTTGAAATTTAAGCTTCTCACACACCTCTAGTCACAACTATTCTAGCCAGTCCCCACTGCTGTGCAACGATTAGTTTCATGGTAGTGGTAAAAAGCAATGTGAGGGAAAATAATTGGCAACGTTCCCGCCAATTATGAATTTGGTTCAATGATTACATTACTGAAGTCCAAGTGTCAAGTCCAATTAAATAAATAAAAAAAAAAGTAAAAAAAAAGTGTAAAGTTCATCCAAGAATTAGCGGTCTGAACTGGTTAGGATATTAGTCAGAAAAGTAAAGAACTAGACATTGGTTGCGGATTTTAAATCGCTCGCTTGATTGCAACTGAAGCTCGTTGGATACCTTAATTTGAGGACAGCTGGTATGTAGCACTGCATACATATTGACACTGACTTCATTTATAGAACTTAAAGTGCTGAAAATACAAGCTATGAGGAACTATGAAACAAAATTACATTTGTTTCAATTAGAACAACCAATTTTTTTCAACTTGAACAGCGATAAACAGCTAAGCAATACAACATCAGTATATACCTTATATCACAGATCAAAATATTCTGTAAAATATATAAACAATTCTCTTTGTAAAGAGATTCAGATATATTGTTTTAAAGTCCTCCTATAAACTGTCTTGAAATTGCTGTTTGTTGAAACATTATATCAGTTATCAGTAAAAACCTCAGAAAGATCATTAAAGAGTACTTAATTTGATGTATATTTTTACATGGGGTCTCTCAGGCTGATGATAAATTAAAATGGCTGCCATTTTGAAATGGGTTGACATAGAGACCTTTCGCTGATATTCTTTTTAACTAATAACCTTTAAAATGAGGTGTCACTTGATGGGGCTTTACATTTAACATTTTTGAGTCGCCCCCAAAATACCGGTAACCCTTTTTGGGTATTTAAACAGAATTGGGATGCCAACAAACAAGTGTACTTTTATGCCATCTAGAGACAGTATAAACTCACTTTTTTGCCGAGTTGGTGTGCAGAGTTTGGTTTTCCTGGTGTAACCCATGAAAAAGTTAATAATGGGTGTCCATCCGATCCCTCTTATACAAAAACTTAAATAACCAGAGTGTCTAGTAGTCAGGAAAAACGGGAAAGTTAGGAATTAGTATTTAATATCAAAATAGTCTTGAAAAGTCTGGATTTAGTCATTATTTTGTTATTAAAGTCGGGAATTTTCATGATTTTGCTGATATCGCACAAGACGACAATCACATTTCCGTGACACCGTGACCCTGGAAGACGATGATGATGTCTACACGGTCGCAGAAGATGTTCATGATTTTTCAGAACTTTGTCGTGATCACGGAATATGATAATATCTAGACGGCCAAGAATTGTTAGTAAATTTGACCCGATCGCGCAAGACGCTTTACGTGACCAAGGAAGTCGATGATGATATCTACATGGCCGCAGGAGATAATGCGAATGTTGTCGCGATCGCAAAAGACGACAATAATGTCTACACGACCGTGGGAGATGGTAAAGGTTATTCCGCGATCACGCTTAAAGATGATGTTTTTTGTGACCGGGGGAGTTGTTAATGTCTACACGGCTGCATAATAGATAATTAGAATTTTATAACAATCGCGAAAGAGGACAATAATGTCTAACAAATCACGGGTTATCATCAAAATTTTGCCGCGATACCGTAGTGGAAGACGATGATGATGCCTTTTGGTTGGAAATTGCTAATGAACTTGCTGCAAACACGCGAGACAACGGTGATGTTCCCTTGACCGCGCGAATCGATGCTGATGTTTACACAACTGAGGGAGATTATCATAATTTTGCAGCAACCGCGGGAGATGTTGATAATGTCCACATGAGGGTCCAGGGAGATAAATAGCGGTTTTGCCACGATTGCGAGAGTGGTTAATAACGTTTCTGTAAGACTAGATTACTTACGTCAATAGCTCATTGAATTTCATTTCATGTTTCAGTACATGTTTCGACACATTGTCATCCTCAGCTGAGTACTAGTGAAGTTTTTATTCACCATATGGTTTCGTCAATGTTCAATTAAATAAACACGTAACACGTAACACAAATACGACACGACACGGAACATATACATTTAAAACACGTAAAGCTTTAGACATGCAGGCCTGCTCGAACAAAACACACGGTCACGCCGCGGGTCGGGGACAGACTGACTAGTGACTATTTGTTTATCCAGGCTTATCATTGTTATCACGGAGGCAGTGGACAGCTGTTTCTTTGGTAGGAATGATAGAATTGAATATCGAGTTGGAGCTAAAATTTAGTTTTTCATTCAGAACAAATTTATTTTCATCGTTATTTTTGTGAGCTCTGTATATTTCGTACTCCTCCAACGTGTCCAATTTTCTGCCCTTTTCACAAATGTGGAGTATTTCTAGACTGTCTTCTATTGTTCCGAATGAGTGTTCCGAATCAGTCTAGAAATACTCCACATTTGTGAAAAGGGCAGAAAATTGGACACGTTGGAGGAGTACGAAATATACAGAGCTCACAAAAATAACGATGAAAATAAATTTGTTCTGAATGAAAAACTAAATTTTAGCTCCAACTCGATATTCAATTCTATCATTCCTACCAAAGAAACAGCTGTCCACTGCCTCCGTGATAACAATGATAAGCCTGGATAAACAAATAGTCACTAGTCAGTCTGTCCCCGACCCGCGGCGTGACCGTGTGTTTTGTTCGAGCAGGCCTGCATGTCTAAAGCTTTACGTGTTTTAAATGTATATGTTCCGTGTCGTGTCGTATTTGTGTTACGTGTTACGTGTTTATTTAATTGAACATTGACGAAACCATATGGTGAATAAAAACTTCACTAGTACTCAGCTGAGGATGACAATGTGTCGAAACATGTACTGAAACATGAAATGAAATTCAATGAGCTATTGACGTAAGTAATCTAGTCTTACAATAATATCTACAGCTCAGGGGCTTAACAATGAATTTAAACGTTTCTGTGACGCTGGCACTCCTCTAGTTAAAATAAAGTTGTTTTTGTGTCATTAGATAATCATTTACCTTTGTTATGGTAGTTATTTACAGTGTTATGAAGTGTTTAAACCTAAATTGGCTTGTTATAATTTTTCATTGCTGCACTTTTTTCTTTAATTTAAAAACACACCCATTATCTTAATAATAACAATAGTCAATGATAATACTTTATGACATAAAAACACGGGTTAGTGTAGTATAACCTAATTATTTAGAAAATGTTGTAAAACTATGAAAATCTGTGTCGGTATCAAGAATTGAGAATCGATACAATTTTATATCGACACATCACTAATATAATTGTTAAAAAAACTAGTCTTGAAAAGTCTGGACCTAGTCTTAAATTTTAAAATAGGCCTAGAAATAAACTAGACACACTGAATTTAACTAAGATTTTTTTATGATATGGAGTAAATATTTCTATCCTACTAACCTTGCTATTAACGGTTAATTGAATTTTTTTTTTTTTTTACTTAAAATGGTTTACAATACCTGCATATAGTAATCCTTTGTTGCTGATTTAGGCAACTAGTTTCGGTTCTTGTTTTGAACCATCTTCAGGCCTCAAGGTGTCAAGTGATCACTTCATTCGAAGGTCGTTAACAGAGTTCAATAAATAAAACATATACAAAACACGATACACGGAACGGACACACATTACAAAAAACACGAAAAACACGAAGGGACATTGACAAACGATCGTGACCGGGCTGAGGTAATGTCTAGACTGGTGGTCAAAGTGGTCTATGGCGTTGTCTCTGTCTTCTTATCACCGGTGCGTGTTCATTCATTCATTGTTTCCCTCCAGTATCCTTATAGCTGTGTTGTAAATATAGTTGGATTGGAAGGAGAGTTTATCGTTCAAAACATTTTGATGGTCAGCTTTAACTGCTCTGTATATTTCAAACTCTTCCAATGTGTTTCTGGTTAGACGGTCCTGCGAAAAATGTAAAACTTCCATATTACTATTGATATCTGAATAATTGTGGTTGTGTGATACTAGATGTTCTGCAAAATTTGATGTTTGGGGAGCTGTTGTCTTTCTGGGCATATGTTCCTTAAATCTCTTCTTAAACGAGCGTGAAGTCTGGCCAATGTAGTAGTTCGTGCAGTCATTACAATTTATTTTGTAGACTCCAGACTTATCGTAGATGGATGAATTAATCCACAGAAAAGAAAACATATATTTCAGCAATTTTTGGTTCACACATCAGTAACACATTTAAAAATATCATGGACAAAAATAAATTCTCCGTATCGTTCAAGACTAACAACAAACTTGGATCTCTATTGAAAGATAAAACAGAAATTAATTCATCCATCTACGATAAGTCTGGAGTCTACAAAATAAATTGTAATGACTGCACGAACTACTACATTGGCCAGACTTCACGCTCGTTTAAGAAGAGATTTAAGGAACATATGCCCAGAAAGACAACAGCTCCCCAAACATCAAATTTTGCAGAACATCTAGTATCACACAACCACAATTATTCAGATATCAATAGTAATATGGAAGTTTTACATTTTTCGCAGGACCGTCTAACCAGAAACACATTGGAAGAGTTTGAAATATACAGAGCAGTTAAAGCTGACCATCAAAATGTTTTGAACGATAAACTCTCCTTCCAATCCAACTATATTTACAACACAGCTATAAGGATACTGGAGGGAAACAATGAATGAATGAACACGCACCGGTGATAAGAAGACAGAGACAACGCCATAGACCACTTTGACCACCAGTCTAGACATTACCTCAGCCCGGTCACGATCGTTTGTCAATGTCCCTTCGTGTTTTTCGTGTTTTTTGTAATGTGTGTCCGTTCCGTGTATCGTGTTTTGTATATGTTTTATTTATTGAACTCTGTTAACGACCTTCGAATGAAGTGATCACTTGACACCTTGAGGCCTGAAGATGGTTCAAAACAAGAACCGAAACTAGTTGCCTAAATCAGCAACAAAGGATTACTATATGCAGGTATTGTAAACCATTTTAAGTATAATACAGTAATCCGGAGGCTAAACAACTATTTTAAAATGAATTTTTTTCATACAATGATAATGAAATGTGTTCCAGGTGGTCTGTTAGCGCTCGGGGCGCACACATTACAGAATACCCAGAGCAGTCGCTACATGGAGGTAGCTGAAGGCATCACTCACACGTGTCACGAGTCTTACGACCGGACAGCCACCAAGCTTGGTCCTGAGAGCTTCAGGTTCACGGAGGTGGTGGAAGCCAAGGCCATCAGAACAGCTGACAAGTACTACATCCTGCGGCCGGAGGTCATTGAGAGCTACTTCTACATGTGGAGGCTCACCAAGGACCCCAAGTACAGGGAGTGGGGCTGGGAGGCTGTTCAGGTAGCTACTGTCAAATACCATGAGAGAGTATGTTGGGTTCTATAGCATATAACCATATGCTAGAACCAAATCATATAGGTTGATCATTGAATTACACCAGAGCCTTGTTAAATCAAAATCCTTGATGAATCAAATTTTCCTCAATACCCTCAAATTTGTTATTTTGCAATTTTACTTTTATAAATTCAAGGTTTTCTCAGATAGGCGCCTCGATTAATGGAATTTTGGATGTATTAAATTGACCTTTTATATTACCTCTGTAGTTCAAAAGTTCAGCAGACAACTCTACTATTCAAAGTTGTGCAGTTTTCGGGCCTTTATAAATTGAAGTTTTAGTAAGTGTAATATCGAAGGTGTACACTTTTGCCAAAAATGTTAAGCATGAATTCCCCCTTAATCTACCCTTGTACAGCACACCCACAATGCATCGAATCTGCCTCTGTGTGTCGTTCGTGCCATTGTTTTTCAAGTCTGTTGATGGCTAGATTTTTATTTGGGTGTTATCTTTTGTGCCCTTGTGAACACATGTACTTTTGTGCCTAGTGTACCTTGTGAATACAATATGGCAAAGATAATTTTTCAAACATTAAGCTGTGTTTTACAAAGTCATGTTGTTTAAAAAGGTGCAGGAACTAGCTTACCAAACGCTAGAATCCCTTATTTATTTCCTCCACCATCCCCTCTTTTACCTATATCCTTCCCCCGCTCATTCAGAACTGTGCCATTGCACAACAATAAGCTGTCATACAATACAGTTATTTGTAATTTTTTCATGATGGTTAACATTGAAACTATGTTCAGCCAAAAATCAAGACCTACGTTCTTGTTCTCTTTTAATGTAAAAGTTATTCTGATTTACAGGCTTTACAAAAACACTGTTGGACCCCAGGTGGATATACAGGTATCAAGAATGTCTACATGGAGGATTCCCAGAAAGATGATGTCCAGCAGAGCTTCTTCCTAGCAGAAACACTGAAGGTACTTACTTGTACTGATGATAAGCATTGCTTCAAATATCATGCAAGCATTCTCTAACTATTTCCTAGATGAATTAAATGGGATTGATCCAAATCAAGTCATAACCTGTTCAAAAAATGTATGTGATATTGTTATTCTATAAGTATAAAAAAGAGGATGTTGGTTTGTATATATCAGGTTTGTTGGCAGTGATAAACCCAGACACCGCTGGACCGATGGCCACGAAACCTGGTACATACAGTTAAGAAAACAAACACATCCTACATATCATCGGTTCTCAATATTTATTGATACCCTTCACACAATAGACTCACAAAAAACGACGTCAAAGCAATCGTCATTTACTCCATTGAAACACGAACGTCTATTGGCTGACATGGCAGTGCATTGTCGACTCTCGACCAATGAGAACTCTTGTTACACACTTTGATTTATCTTAGTATGTTAACATTCATCCATTCATCATTCATTATATTACAAAATCGACATGGACTATGCGTATGATATTTTTCAATCAATGCACTATGTTATAGTAGCACTTAAAACTTCACTAAACTCTTTAACTAGGTAGATAGTACAGATATAATATGGATCTACTTTTTTGTGTAATAGGCAAGCCTAACCCTCTGACGGTCGACGATGTTTCCTAAGTCGAATTTAATTTTTCTAATCATGCGTTTTAATTTTTCATGGGATGAAACTAAACAATTTTACGTGTTTAGGTTATTTATTTTGTACTAAAAATAAAAATAATACATCTAAAGGTCTGACTTATTGATACAGACTTTTTTTGTATAATTTCGTGTTAGCAGGACATTTGAGCCGGTTGTCTGGGATTAAATTCCGACTGACATCTTGAAAGAAATGTAGATTGTCTTGTGTTGTGCAATATCCTTTGTAGAGAGAACAGCTGAAGCTAAACAAAGGCACTGTAGCTGTTTTGAACTAAATAGTTCTAAGTTGGCTACTAAATTTGTTAGCATGATTACAAAACTAATAGCTATCAAATAAATAAATGTTAAAATAAAATATCTATTTCTGTCGGGTGTCGGTATCGGGCGAAATCGACTTTTGGCAATCGATTCTTGATACCGATACTTCAAGTATCGGCAATGTCCGAGTATCAGTCGTCTTGATAATCGACACATCCCTGTCTAAAACTAAACTCATTTTGGAGGCCTAAATTAGTTTTATATATGCATCGGGACGTAATCGTTGCATCGGGATGTAATTTATGCATCATCGGTTTTTTCGATGCATCAAGAAAAATCTATGCATCAGGATTTCGATTGCAAATCAAATCATGATTCGATGCATCAAATCGAATCAAAATTTTGATGCATTTTCGATGCATTGCACACCACTAGTGATGTTCAATAGCATTAAAAAGTTAATAGGTTTACCAACAGGGTGCAGCACGATTAATTGTTTAAATTTATGAAAACACTAATTTGTACCAAGCAGAAACAAAAACTGTGATACATGGAATGGATGGTTTTTTACAGTTATGTTTATTTAGTCAGTCAATAATAATAGTAAATTAATAAAAGTCTCTCTACATACAGCAGATCTTGGGAACATAATAATTGTCTCTTCTGCATCTTGATCCCATTGCAAGGCACGGGTACAGCGGCTATTAAACTAAAACCGTTACTGTAATATTTCAACAAAAGATTGCTTAGGTAATTTTTTAAATGTTCTTTTTAAGTATTAAAATAAAATATTTCCTTCATTTTATCAGAGAACCGTAGTTATGAAATCCCTCATGTGCAGTTACGAGATCCTCATATCCCTGGATTTAAAGTCATCTATAGTTTGTATTTCAATATCGGTTCTTGTTTTTCATTAATGATATGCACTAATGCCTAAATGTAAAGTCACCTTTGCTTTGTGTTTCAGTATCTGTACCTGTTGTTCAGTGACGACAGCCTCATATCCCTGGATATAAAGTCACCTATGGTTTTGTTTCAGTATCTGTACCTGTTGTTCAGTGACGACAGCCTCATATCCCTGGATATAAAGTCACCTATGGTTTTGTTTCAGTATCTGTACCTGTTGTTCAGTGACGACAGCCTCATATCCCTGGATATAAAGTCACCTATGGTTTTGTTTCAGTATCTGTACCTGTTGTTCAGTGACGACAGCCTCGTATCCCTGGATATAAAGTCACCTATGGTTTTGTTTCAGTATCTGTACCTGTTGTTCAGTGACGACAGCCTCATATCCCTGGATATAAAGTCACCTATGGTTTTGTTTCAGTATCTGTACCAGTTGTTCAGTGACGACAGCCTCATATCCCTGGATATAAAGTCACCTATGGTTTTGTTTCAGTATCTGTACCTGTTGTTCAGTGACGACAGCCTCATATCCCTGAATGTTAAGTCACTTATGGTTTGTGTTTCAGTATCTGTACCTGTTGTTCAGTGACGACAGCCTCATATCCCTGGATGTAAAGCCACCTATGGTTTTGTTTCAGTATCTGATCTGTACCTGTTTTTCTGTGACGACAGCCTAATATTCCTGGATGTAAAGTCACCTATGGTTTTTGTTTCAGTATCTGTACCTGTTGTTCAGTGACGACAGCCTCATATCCCTGGATGAGTGGGTGTTTAACACTGAAGGACATCCGTTGCCCATCAAAGGCATCAACCCCTACTATCGGGCTTCCCCCACCCTCGTCCACACATAATGATCTTGTCATACTAGTGAGTGTACAGCGCAATTAGTTTGTTGAACATTAAATTTGTACTTTTGTTTTAAATAATAGTTATGTTCATATGTAAGTTTTGATGCTGTGAATAACCGATATTTTACATTTGTATATAAATTAATTTTATTTTACTTGCTGTGATTTATGTGAAAACTTTCAAAAAAAGCTTTTGTTTGTCAATACTACATTCCTCTTTTCCCTAAATCATATTGGATTATCGAGGTTGTGGATGAAATGTTCTAAAATCAAATTGGTAGCTGAAAGTTAATAACTAAGTGTTAATATTTAATTGTTTTCTTAATTTAGGCTTCTAAGATCAAATAATTTTGATGACTTATATTATTAGAACAAATTTTTTACTAGCTAATTTTTAATATGAATGACAGCTGAACTGCGACTATCCACTATCCAGTTATCAATGATGCACTGTCGATGGTGTTGTGGGACACTGGAGCAAATTGAATCATATTTTGATCACAAAGTTGAGTTATCAGATATTTTTGGGATCAATGATTGAATGATTATACGACATCGCTCATTTAAAATCTGAACATTGTTACCATATTCATATGTTACAATGTTGTTAGGTATACAATAACCTTTGTCACCACAACAAATCCAATTTACACGAAAACAGTAAAGGCATGGATCAAAAATTGTAAGGCAATAAAATTTGTCCATTCTTTATGTCAAATATCGTCCAAAGTAATATCAATAGCCTTACTTTACATATTTATGAAGTCTAATTCGGATAGTCAAAGGTTCACTGAATACGTTTATGCATTTAAGTTTTACTAGATTTATTACTAGAAAAAGTTTCCTGATAGAAATATAATTTTAGTTGTTTGAACAAATTATTCTTCGTAATGTTCTAGTGACAGATAATTTGCTATGTAATGAATGAAATGTGTACATATATGTCCTGCTGTACATAAGACAGTCCCTATAATTTATTACAGATTGGGTAATGTAAATATTGTGAATGATGAATGCTGACATGCATGTCAGGTGCCTAAGTGTGTGTATTTTGTAATCTTTTGAATAGTTTTTAATATATATAATATAGAGTTATGGAATATATTTGTTATTTTGTTTTCAATTTACTTGATTACGGATTTTCATGTGTGCACAATGTTATAAATAAATTTATTTATTTGTAAATTGTATCTTTTGTTGTATTAAAATTTATTTATTTTACACAGCTGCTCCTACAGATCATGTAAATTTTATTTAATCAATTTACGTTGGGATTGTATTTAAAATATACCTCTCTATTTTATTCCCTTTAACAATATTTTGGAAAATTTTCTCTGGATGCCCAACTTTTCGGTTTACATTTTGCAATTGAATCAACACTTGCTGTGGTCCGTAATAGCAGTTGTTGCCAGAATTAATATCCTCTAAATAAGTTAAATTAAGGTTAAAAACTTCATTTTAAACAGAATTTGCAAATGAAATAAAGTTCTTCATAACTATGATTTTCAAGTATTGAAAAATATGTTTTAAATCTATCTCACAACCACTACTCTAAACAGAATTTTCTTTGTCTTGTTATTTCAAATAGAATATTTCATCACAAAAACCAACTAAAAAAATACACAATCTGAAATACCAAATCTTTTGTTTAAGAGGATAGAAATGAAAAAAGTTGTAAAATTTTTCAAAAAATTTTGATTGAGGTCAACTAATCTTGTAGAAAACACTGTATTTGCTATCACAGACCTTTGGATCCAGGTTTCTAAACCCAAACATGATTAATGGTTTTCATTAATAACAATAAAGATGTATATTGTGACTTTTACAGACTTTTTATCAAATCTTATTCAACCTTACAATTACAGTGATAAAAAAATAGTCAAAAAATCATGTAAATACATTTGAAAAGTCACTTACAAATAATTTACTCTACCTTTGCAACTGCATCTATGGAATTTTATTCAATTTGATCAATTTTTAGCCTGACACTATTAAACTTTTTGTAAAGTAGATAGAGTGACATTAATTGTTTTAGCATTTATTGAAGCATGAATTTTTATCTTCCTACTATTGTTTTCATATTCTAGCAAAAGAAATGTAGTCAATTACATATTTTTAACGGAAGTGTGCAGTTGTGTTGTTTACGAGTGAACGGTACCAACAAGCTCAACTGTTTAGTGTAAGGTATGTCACTGAGTGTACCAATGGGTATTTTAGATTAAGACTGTGTAATTAGAACAACCCTATGTACAATACAGAGATTTGTTATTTAAATTGGTTCAAGCATACCTTATTACCTTGGTCCAAACAAAACATACAGTAAACCATTACATATCAACTAGGGATGTAGTTTATATACAGGGTGGCTGAAAAGTAACTTGCACCCCCCCCCCCCTTAACTTTTCAACCATTTGAGATATTTGACATCGGTTTGCGGCAACCTTCTTAGATATTAGGAGCTACAATAATTCTGGTCATTTTTGAAAATGTTGCCCTTAGGGTAGCAGGGGTAGCTCAAAATTTTCAAATGACAAGTATAGTCGAGTTTGGTTTCATTTTACAGGTCTTGACGAAACATAAACATTGACTTAAAGAAAACCAAAATCGGCTCACTAATAACAAAATGGCGCCCTAAAACGTTTCAAATCCAAATAACCATGAGAGTGGCAAAAAAATTAACTTGCACCCTCTTTAACTTTTTAACTATTTGAGATATTTAAAATCGGTTTACGGCAACTTGTTTGAAAATGAAGGGCCACAATAAATATGGTCAGTTTTGAAAATTTTGCCCTTAGGGGTAGCAAGGATATGGGGTAGCTCAAAATTTTCAAATAGCAAGTATAGTCGAGTTTGGTATCATTTTGTAGGTCTTGACAAAACATAAACATTAACATAAAGAAAATAGAAATCGGACCATAATAACAAAATGGCAGTTCAAAATTACTTTAAATAACCATTGTCTCAAAAATTTTTTGCTGCCATTTTGTTATTAATGGTCCGATTTCTATTTTCTTTATGTTATTTGTTATGTCTCGTCAAGACCTGTAAAATGATACCAAATTCGACTATACTTGCTGTTTGAAAATTTTGAGCTACCCCCTACCCCCGCAACCCCTAAGGGCAAAATTTTCAAAACTGGCCATAATTATTGTAGCCCTTCATTTCCAAACAAGTTGCTGCAAGCCGATTTCAAATATCTCAAATAGTTAAAAAGTTAAAGAGGGTGCAAGTTAATTTTTTTGCCGCCCTCATGGTTATTTGGATTTGAAACGTTTTAGGGCGCCATTTTGTTATTAGTGAGCCGATTTTCGTTTTCTTTATGTCAATGTTTATGTTTCGTCAAGACCTGTAAAATGATACCAAACTCGTCTATACTTATCTTTTGACATTTTTGAGCTACCGCTACCCCTAAGGGCAAAGTTTTCAAAATTAAACATAATTATTGTAGCCCCTCATATCTAAGAAGGTTGCCGCAAACCAATTTCAAATATCTCAAATGGTTGAAAAGTTAAGAGGGGGTGCAAGTTACTTTTCAGCCACCCTGTACAATGGGTTTATACAGGTTTGCACTTTAAGCTCGGAACATGATAGGAGGTTTTTTTCTTTCTGAGTTTTGTTACAGGGTCCACAAGGGATTTTTCCCATTGCAATAAGAGAAACTTTCTTTAGTTTATTTTCAACTCTAAGGGCGGGTTTCTGATTCAGGTATTAGCGCTAGTCTTAGACTAAAGCTCTTTTTAGTACTGGACTAAGAAAAATATCTTTCTGATTCGAGTACTTATAAGTCAGCGACTAATCTTAGTCAAGAACTAGTTTTTAAGTCTGAACCAAGGAAATTATGCTTAAGTCCACGGACTAAATCATGCTAGATTTTAATCCTGCATAGGGGTAGGATTAATTTTAGTCGTCCACTTTTAACCTAAGCCATTTTTGTGTGTTAAAGTTTAAGCTGATTATGGATTACATTGATTATCATGATTTTTACCATTTTCGTGGGCCGCGAATTCGTTGTGAACGGGAAAACAATCCATTTGATGACTTAAGTGAGGATGAATTCAAGGATAAGTTAGGTATAGATTTTTCAAAAAAAACTCTGTGAGAGAACTAATTGAATTGATAAGGCCTAGTTTGGAAGGCACTTCCACAAGGGGAACTAGCCCTTCCAAGCGCTTTTTTGCAAGTGGAACACTTTTGCGGGAAGCCGGCTATCTAACTAATATCCCCCACCCAAAACCTCTAATTCCCACTGGTCCCCTAAGTTTTTTGGTAGAAGTTATTGCTGATTATATGAAATTGTAGGGGTCAAAGGAAGCCTGGACTACAAAAAAGTCATTTGAGAAAGTTAGTTTTGGTGACTAGGAACAGTTTAAACACGTCTTATAGAACATATTAGGTGATTGGGAGAACAAGGATTGGTATTGGTGCTGATGAAAAACAAAACTTAGTTTAGAGTAGTATCTAAGTAAGTTAGACAGTGTGTAAATAAAGAGACTTCCGTAACTTATCTGTTGTCAAGGACAACCGAATGAAATAATTGATTATTTGATATTTCGATTATTTCATTAGCCTGGTCGACAAGTTTTTTTTTTTAAAGGCTAGGGTACGCCAGTAAGTTAGTACCGGTAACTTATGACTCCCTGTTAAAATTACATGAGCATTATTGCAATAAGCCTATTCAAACTATGGCTACACTTTACTTTTTTTATTTTTTATTTATTTACAGAATGCCATTACATCATAAAATGACAGGACATTTGTCAATGCATTATAATACTTAAATCTAAATAGTAAAAAATCTAAATAAAATAATTTAAACACTTAACCCTCCCAATTTCCACCTAAAAATTCATTTAAAGAATAAAATGTTTTTGTCAGTAAACATTCTTTACATTTTTGTTTTAACTTTTTTGGATTTGCGATGTTTTTTAAATGATCAGGAATCAAGTTATACAATTTTGGTCCAATATATTGAGGTGATGCTTCAAATAGTGATAATCTATGGCTAGTGGGCTTAATTAGGTCCTTATGTCTAGTATTATACGTATGGTTTGTGTGACCCTCCCTGAAAATGGACAAAATTGAACAATTTTGAATACCCAAAATAATGCTTCTAAAATATACAGGTCATAAAATGTCAAAACGCTGAAAGCCTGAAAGATGATTTTGCATGGACTTCTTCGGGATACTTTAGCTATGATTCTAAGTGCCTTCTTTTGAAGCCTAAATATCTTCTTACCATGGCAAGAATTTCTCCATACAAGTATTCCGTATGACATTAAAGATGAAAAATATGAATGATAAACTGTTAATTGAGTTTTAGTATCTGTAACTTGAGAAATTGTTTTGAGAGAAAATATTGCTGAAGAAAGTTTTTTCCGTAGTTTGTCAATGTGAGGAAGCCAGTCAAGATTTTTGTTTACATGAATGCCCAAAAAATTGACTGTCTCCTCAGACATTAACTGATGATTTGTAAAAGTGGTCTGTTTTAAACTATTTCTATGATCTGATCGAAAATTAACTACTTGAGTCTTGTCCATGTTCAAGGAGAGCCCATTTACTCTAAACCAGTCACTTAAAGCGGCCAATTCTGTATCTACTGTGTGCTGCAGGGATTCAACATTGGGTCCCTTACATAACAGCATTGTGGCATCAGCAAATTGAAATATATCCATCTTTGACACGTTTGGTAGGTCATTTACATAAATAAGAAATAGACAGGGGCCCAATATTGATCCCTGAGGCACCCCTACTTCAACTTTTTCCCAATTAGAATTTATAGTATGTCCAAATTTGATAATTTTAGTCCTTTGATATATATCCCTCAAGTATGTAGAAAACCAATTTAGTTCCTTGTTTTTTATTCCATATTTTTCAAGTTTGTCTATTAACAAATGATGAAGTGATGAACGCATTCAAAAGCTCTGGTTAGATCACACAGAACTCCAGTTGTCTTCTGAGATCCATCCAAGGAACTACTTTACGTCCTACACTCATTGGAATGAAAATATCGATCGATATATTGATTATTCAATAAGTTATATCGTTTGGTTAGTTAGGTAAGGTTAACCTAACCTAACCTAACCTAATAAGGTAAGGTTAACCTAACCTAACAAACCAAACGATATATCGAATGAAACAATCGAATAATCGATATTTTAATTCGAAGGAGTGTCGGACGTAAAGTAAAGTGCAGCCAAAAGAAATGGATGAAACACCAATCCTACCTTTAGAACACCTTTAAAATTTTACGATACAACTAGTTTATAACAATAATAAAATATATTACAATGATAAATGAATTAAAACAGAAATAAACCTCAAAACCAAGGTTTGACTGAGATCGTTGTTTGTTTACTTTTTCAGAGCAGAGTGCGCACATCAAACTGACAGTGTTGCCAGCACGGCGGCACAAATTACCCTACATTTCCCTTGAAAATCATGAGCTCTTTTAATCTCTGACTAAACTAAGTACCCACTTTAAATTAGTCCGTGTGTCTTTAATCCTTGACTCAGAAAGTAAATTTGTAGTACATGACTAATTTTAATCCTTGACTAGCCTAGTTCTAGACTTATAAATCCCTGACTCAGAAACCCGCCCTAAGAGTTCAAGTTCTTATTTGTACACATATCTATATTATGTTTTCACTAAGCTTAATGAATACATCGAAGTAACCACTCTGAAAAGTCTGCAGTATATACAGTTTTCCAGCTTAATGACTATCTAAATCATGCACATATTTCTACATAAATATTGTAAAATGTTTTATCCAGTTTCTGTACACCACTATTAATTTAACAAAATATGGACACGGCTCAAATGGGCACCGTGCCCTTCTGCACTTGTATTATTTTGTATTGTATTACACAATCGAAGATTTTTCCAATGATTGAAAGCATGTATGACAATAATCTCATGAATATATGATGATCTGTCTAGAATAATATGATAAAATATAGGGAAAAGGTGTGAAAAAGGCAGAGACCAACCCGTAAAATAGATATAAGATAGTCCAATAAGAAACAATGCAGGAGTTATTGTGATAAAATGATTTTTCACTGATCTCTTAATGGAACTTTATATTGCAAAACAAATGATACAGAAGAAAATCAATTTTAAAATCAGAAAAACACATTAGTCCAGTCAAACTAAGACAAATTACCCTTAAACCTGGGCAAAATTGCTTCACAAGCGATTTAAGTGGTATTAAACTCAGAAAATGTTGCTTTATAACATATCCAAAATCCGACAAAATCCATCCATGGGAAAGTGACTA